TTGAATCTTGCTGCTGCTTCTGAAATAATAATCAACTGATGAGACCACCTATTTTTAAAAATTGAATCTTTGGAATACATTTTGTGCAAAAACATATTTGGGTGCAACATATGATTTGTAGTTTAGAGTATGTATGATACGTACCGTGTGGGAGTTTGGGGTGGCAGCAGGGGAATGGGGTGGAGGACAGGGTGGTGCAAGAGGGTGAGTGGCGTTGTTCATTGAAGCGGTGGATGAGAGAGCATAAGAAGGGAGAATGGGGGGAGTTGGGTTTTGAAAGCGGTGTGAAGTGGAACTCCCAAAATCGGTAAATTCAAAGAACTCAGAAAAATTTTCCATCTGAGTCAGAACATCCATCCCATCGCCAATCCCTCTCAATAAATAATTAGAAATACAAAAAAGACGAATAAGAAAGATATGGAAGTACAATAATAGTCGAAGGCTCGAATCTTATAGAAACTTGCAGAAGAAGAAGAAGATGAAGAAGGTGAAAGAAAGTGGTATCGGCGGGGGGAACACAGCAATATAAGATTTCTAGTGAATCTATATATATATATATATAAATAGAGAGCCTGAAAATGATATAATATAATATAATGTATGCAATAATGTAATAATGAGACGTGTGTCATAAATCCAAGGGGTTTTTTAAAAAAATATTTTGCTTTCATTTTTTGTGTTTTTTTTTCTTTTGACCAATAATTTAAGAAATTTAACAATAATATCCAGTTTTGTACCTTGTTGTTTTAAAATTATTGGATGTATGGAGGAATGGAAGATAAAGAGTGTTGGCATGCATTCAACTAAAATGATTGAGAGAAAAACTATTTTTTAAAAAAAAAAAAAACTCTTGAAACATTATTATACGTGTAGTTATGTTGATAGCAGTCTCTGTGTTGCTCGAAATGAATTGAGATTCACACGTTTATTTATTTTAAATATGAATTTTATGATTTAATGAAACCAAAATTTGTATAAGAAATCCAAACGATGGTATGTTCTAGAGCTATTGATTCTCATAGGCATTATTTTATTTTTTTTCAATTTATAAACGAGTTCTAAATTTATTGACGGTGTGGTGTGTAACGAGGTTTGGAAGGTGCAGCTCTGTCTCATAAATGCAGTTCAAAAAGAAAAAATATCATAAATGCTCATAATGGTGTATTTAGTAATCAGTTTAATTTTCACTTCATTAAATTCTTGATAATACAAGGAAGAGCTATTTAATTCATAGACATACTGGGAAATAACAGAGTAATTAATTATTAATAAAAGAGCACTATTTTTTGTAGCAAAAATTATTCTAGTTATGAAGCAATGCATGAATGAAAATATACATAGATGGGACCATGTAATGAAAACAATGAACAAAACATTGTGATTTGAGTGTCATATATTTTATTTTAGGCGATAATCCTATTCTGTTTTAACAAATTGAAGTTGAGCAGAAAACAGGGAGCCATGGACGATAATGGTTTGAAGGAATAATAGGAAGATAAGTGGGTTAGAAAGCATTGATGTTAAGAACACTAAAACCTCACATGAAAAGCGTCAGAAATTTCTGCAACTCTGTGTATTATTTATTTGGGAGAGAGAGGGAGGGGTTAGCATTATCCTGATCATTTCATCTTCGGTTGCAGATTAAATCATTAATTTCTTCGATCCCTTCTTGCTTTCCTCGGAACGCCATTCGAGAAGGGATTAGGTGAAGAAACAATGGCCTGCTTCCTCTTCAATTATCGTAATAAACCTTTCATCAAAAAAAAAAAAAAAAAAAAAGTGTCTGAAATTGAGAGATCTTGGTGTTGGATTCCTTTTTTTTTTTTATATATATATTTTAAATTTTTGTTACGTGTTTTTGTAATGCATAACATTATGAGTTGCAGAGCCTTATCTTTTTCTTCCCCCACACCCCACTTGTATTGTTGTTGGTTTTTTTTTAATATCTGGTGACAATATGATTATGAATATACAATGAACACAGCAAGGTGTTGAGATTATAAAAATAATTGTCTTTCCTTTCCCACATCCAAAGTTGCAGCTACGTCTCAGATTAAACAATTGGTTTGTCCACTCTTTTACTAACACCAACGGCCCCTCTCTTCCTTCTTTGCATCATCTTCCTCATCTCATTCACCACCATTTTCATTTCTTTCTAATGCATCAAACACACACACACTCAAACTAAAGTATCGCCATTAATCACCAACTTTTCATCTTTGTCTCATATATCTCCCTTTTCATGATTTTTTTTTTTTTTTTTTACATCTTTATCGGTTCAACTTGGATGCTATTTAATCTTTTCATAATTTAATCGAATCCCCGCCGCCTCCCTTAAGTAACAATTTATGGGCTATACCCCTATTTATTAAAAGAAATAAAATTGGGCTATACAATTACATGCAAAACACTCTTTTCTATATTGGGCCTTATGGGCTTCCCGTAAAAATTATTTTTTTTTCAGAGTATTGGAGCATGAACATTGTCATAAAGTGGTTCCCTAAAATAAAAGAAAAAAAGAGAGCTTTTTATAAAAATGAGAAAATGGGCTTTTTCTTTAAAAAGACCGAATACGCACAAAACGATGGCAAAACTCTCTTCTCACTTCAAACTTCAAACCCACTTCTTGCCTGCTTTTTCTCAACCACACCACCCTTCTTGGGTTCAACTTTCACACGAGTGGCCCGCACGTATAAACCTAGGAGTCACGTGCGGCACTCCTAAAACAGATTTATATATATTATATATTATATATATATATATATATATATATATAGAGAGAGAGAGAGAGAGAGAGGCAGCTGCTGAGGTGGTGGGATTATGCAAAAGGTTTGGATTTATGGTACGAAACGAAATGATTGCACGACAAAGATATTCTGAAACCAAACTTTTTCTTTTTTCTTTTTTCTTTTATTTCTTTTCTTTTGGTTTTGTTTTTATTTATCTCTTTCTTCAAAAATTGGATCTTTTTTGACTTTACCTTTCACCTCTCTCTCACTTTCTCTGCTTTGCAAAATTATTTTCTTTTATTATTACACTCTGCACTCTGCACTCTGCACTCTTCACCACCATCCACCAACTTCCACTTGGGGGAACCATTTCAAATATCAATTTCTACTTTCTTCAAATTAATTATACAATACACTTCCAACTAAAACAAAAGCATTATCCAACCAGTCAACTAAAGCATCTGTACATACCTGTGATTCATTATGTTTAACTTGGTCATCTAACAGTCAGTGATTCGTTTTTAGGTGGTTGAGAAGAAGGTGGAGGAGGGGGCGAGGTGAGGCGAGGTCTTTGAAAATTGTGAAAGAATGAGGGACCAAAAAACAGCAAAAAATTGGTCCCTTACTCAGATATATATATACTTGAAAAGTAGTAAAAGACACAGGTTTCTGGTCCTTGAGGAAGAAGAACAAGTCGTATGATAGAACCCCTGATGTGAACATTTCAGTCCCCATTTTCCCCACCTTCTTCCCCTTCCTTTCGCTTTCATCCAATTGCTCCCATCCATACTATTTCACTTCCTTCCCACCTCCCACCGCCTGTCTGTCTCTGTGTTTTTGGTTTTGTTTTTTTTCCTTATGCAATTCCCAACTGACACAGCTTACAAAATGGGAAGAGAATGGAAGTAATTATCATAACCATTTTCCTTTCCAACTAAAAAATAAAAATGACAATAATTTTGACAATAATGAGGACATGATAGCTGTTTTATGCGATTATTATCTTTAAATCCCAACTCAGAGAAATAGTAGAGTAGCGATATAATTAGGTGTCAGCCGCATGTCCTTTATGAACAAATCTCCTTCACCTCATGTATCCTTACTACTTAAGGACATTCTATTATAGAACCATTAATTCTTCTGGAATCTATCTATGTATCTATCTTTTTCATCACACAACCGAATAGTCCCACCTCCAACTAAATTATTTTAAGTTCCATGGGAATTCCAATTAACAAAGATTGATGTACAAGATAATCACATACACATTCACAACTTGGCACACAAATACTCCAACAGTTACTCAACCCAACGGATCCGCTCAAATAACAAAAGGGAAGAATAATAGTAATAAAAAAAGATAATAAAAAATTGAATAATCTTAAGAATTGAAAAAAGGGGTATGGAGGATGAGCAAGGGCTAGCAGCTACTGGAAGGAGGCATGAGATTGAGCCCCAAATTGTCACCTTTTTCCAACACCAACCGAGAATTCTTGTTGGTATCTGAGACATTGGAAGAAGTAGAAACGTAATTAGTTGTATCAGGGTGTTGTCTTTTCTTGGATGATGAAAGTGGCACTCCAAACAGCTTGGTTTTGCAACTACTGTTATCACCCTCCATTCCAAACGTGTCGAGCTCCGTAACCGCGCTCTTTGACGTGGCCGTTGGCGAGCTGACAAAGTGAGTCGTAGGAATAGCATTAGCAGTAGGGAAGGAAAAGTGCTTGGTAGTAGTATTAGCATGAGGAGGAGGAGGATAGAATCCAAGCAACTGATTAAGGGGTTTTTGGGAATTAGGAGGAGGAGGAGTAGTAGTAGAAGAAGGGTGAGAAAGAAGCAAAGAAGGGAAAGAATTGCTAGGAGAAACAGGCTTCACATGGTTTTGAACAAAATAGATAATGTCATTATAAAGTTTCCTCATATGAGCAAGCTCCGAAATCAGCATAGAGTTATTCCTCCTCAACCTCTCATTATCCTCCGACAAAGCCGTCACCGAACTCATCATGCTGTAACTCGTGTTACTATTATTGCTAACATTTGCACTGCCCAGAACCGAGAAGCCAGCGGGTGCAGCCCTGGGTGGCAGTGGTGGCGAGTCACACCAATTGATATGCTCGTCCGAATCTGAGGGGGAGATGCTAACGCGGGTTGAGAATGGGAAAAAACTGGACCCACTCAGACTCCCGAGATGGTGATGGTTGTAAGGAAGTTGGGGCTGAGCAGTTTTTCGTCGATGAATCTCACACAACAGATGCTTCTCACCTTTTCTGAAGAACTCGTTGGCGAACTCCCATCTGTCCGGGACAATCTTCCTAAAACCCTATTTTGAAAAAAGGAGCAAAACCCATGTTAGAAAACACCCCAAAGAGTGATAAAAATGGGAACTTGAAAAAGGAGGAGGAGTGAATGTACATAAGTGTTGAGCTGGCGGACGAAGCTGGAGAAATTGTTGTGCTTGAAGTAGTTGGGGAGGAGATCGCGGGCGAACTCAGGGGGACGCCAGACGACGAAAGTGGTGTCGTCTTCGCCCCAGGAGACAATGTGATCGGTGGAGGGATCGTCGACCAACTGGTAAGTCTTGGAGAGGAAAGGGGCTGGGACAGACTTGTGAGAGTCCAAAGAAAGTAAGATGCCTTCACAATTGTCGAGCATTAGAGACATGGCTGTTGAAGATGAGATGCGGGAATTGCAAATGCAAACCACTTTTGCAATTTCTTCTAAGAAACAAAAGTTGGGGAATGAGAGGGACTGAGTGTGTGTGTGCGTGTGTGTGTTTGTGTGTGTGCGCGCGTTTGTGGGATAAAAGAAAAGAGTTCTGGTGAGAGAAGAAGGGATGTGACGTTATCGTGGAACTCTGTAAAACTATAATCTCCACATTTAAAAAAAAAAAAAAAAAAAAAAAAACTTTTTAAGGATTATTAATCAGATATTATTAATTAAAATGTTTTAAAAAAAATGAATTTCTCTGTCCTCGGTTAGTGAGAGAGAGAGAATATGTGTCTGTCTGTATAGGACTGTGGAAATAAGGGCATTTCAAGACAAACCCGTGACTCTAACTTTCTCTTTCTTTTTTTTTCTTTTACCGTTTCTGACATTGAACTCACTCACTCACTCACTCACTCACTCACTCACTCACTCACTCACTCACACCCACTTAAAGTTGAGGCTACAATAAAGAATGCCATTGCTTCTTAATTTGGTTGCATATAGTGAGCAAATGTCATTGCAACCTCTATGCCCCTCACTAAATTATACCATTTTTTCCTTCCTAATCTTAAAGATAGGTTTTTTTTTTTTGGGGTTTTTCTATGTTTGTTATGTTGTAGAGAAGCTCAATCATGAGATTGGAACCTTTTCTTTTTCCTTCTTCAGATAATCTCCAAGGAAATGCCCAGTTTTTTTTCCTTTTTTTTATTGGTGCAGTACAATTCCTTGAATAAACTACAATGTATTGTTCTGTTGAGTGTGTTCTTTGAATTGATTGTTTTATGCGGTAGAAATTGTTGTTTGTAAATACATGCATCTCAAAATGTACTTGTGGAACTTTTAAAACAAATATGTCTTATTCCTATCGTTAGGAATATCACGAATCTTCGATATCATCCACTTTAAACATAAAATAACTCATATCATTGAAGATGTATTATTTATTTTCGTAATAAACTTCCAACACACATATATTTTAAGAACATGGTAGGCAATAAATTTATTTCATAGGATGAGGGAGGTGTTATTAAATTTGTGTATCTCTTATGTTTCAATTAGTTATCCTCATAATTAGGAAAAAAAAAAATTAAATGGCATGCATATTTATGAGTCTTTCTAGAGATTGGGCAAGTGAGTGAATTATTAGCCCATAAAAAAACGAAGTTAGAGTAAGACAATATAATTGAAAAAAGAAGGAAAGGGAAGGGTTGAAGGCCACCCAAAATCTCCAATGTCATAATTGGAACAAAGATTGTGCATGTAAAAATGTTTTAAACTAAATAATGAAATGAATATCTTGTAAAAAGGTTTCATATTTTGTTATGATGAGTGACCATGCAAAGTAAAAGTGGGAGATGATATGAGTTCAACACATAAAGGCAAGCAAAGTGAATAGCGGATTTAGGTTGATAAAAATGATGGGTAATTATGTGAATTAGATACTCAGATGATTATATTACAATCCCCTCATCATCTCTAGGATTCTATCATTATTGTAAAACCAAAACAAAGCTTTTACTTTCATCTTTTGGGATCCACTTACATTTTGTTGATATGGGATTTGCAGAAGATAAAGGTATGAGAAATTACAATTCCCGAGAAGCAATGGAAATGGGAGAAACAACTCTGTGTCGTTTCAAATTACAACTTAAGAGAGAGCTTCTTCTTCTTCCAATTTGATGCCCAGCTTCTCAGACCACACTGACGTTTTCTACGCCCTGAACCATTTCAGACAGGACTGACATTTATAATGTGTACATATATATATATATATTTATATGTATAAATGAGGATGAGGACAATGTTTTTTAAAATTTATAACCCTCCTTCTGCTTCTGCTTCTGTTTCTGTATACAATTCTCGTGATTCTTAGTTTGTCTTCTTTGTTTTCCCTCTCACACATCACAATTTACACTCAACCCATAATTTATTTTTCTTAATCTCTTCCCCTTTAACGTAAACATGGCAATCCCCATTAATCATAACCCCAATCAATATATGAGTTGGGGTGGGGCCTTGGGGCCTTGGGTGAGTGAGTGTCTAGATTGGGTTGGGAGGATTTTGAAGGAGTTTTTGTTAAGGGATGGATTTGTGTTAGAAGCATATAAGACAGAGTTGTTCACTAGAAACAGGTTGGGAAGGGGTCCATAAGAGAAAAGTGTTAGCAAGAAAACCAAAGGAAAGGAAAGGAAAGGAAAGCACATAACAACACTCATGTGTGTATGTATGAATAAAAGTGAAGAGACACAGAGATGGGAGAGAGCCCACCAGGCAGCAGCAGTATATGCCACCAAAATCCTCTCTCTCTTCTTGCAACCCCAGGAAGATTCTATTCCAACTTCTTTAACCCATTCCCCACTCGCTTCTCTGCATCATTTCCTCACCCATTTTATATTCGTCTATAAACCCAACCACAAAAATACCAAAACCCCATCTCTTTTCTTTTTATTTTTATGTGTACTCCTAACATTATTACACGTATTTCTCTACCATTTGTTTTATTGCATGCATTCATACGCCTTTTTTCTCTCTCTTTGCTAAGTGAAACACCAAAACAAAATTCATTTCTGCAATTTTTTAGTACAATAAGCCCTACAACCTTCCCTTCTCTGTTTCTTCTTGTAATTCCCACTCTGTTTTGTCTCTTTATATCCAATACTCTACTATGCATACTCTCTCCAAATACCATTATTATATATCAAAGTTTTAACAATCTCCATTGTGCTATCATCACTTTAATCAAAGCATGGGAGAAAGTTACGTCTTTTAATCAAATGGTGCACTCCAAGTCACTATTTTTTCGCCCCCCACAAACCCTTTTAAAGCATTTATTAGGAAAACAGCAAAAGGTTATTTTTTTGTTCATTGGAAATAGTTGGTGTAAAGAATTGAACAAAGTTTCAAGGTTTTTCACTCGATTACTATGGGGAAAGAAGGAAAGAAGGAAAGAAAGAAAGAAAGAAGGAAAGATTTAGTGGATGTATTTGATAATTAAAGAAAGAAAGAAGGGTGTCAGAAAGTGAATAAGGGGAGAAATGAGTGTATATTTAATGGGTCACGAGGGGTATATGGATATCCCACGAAGAAATCACACTCCCTAATTAATGCCTAATGGATTCAACAACACATCCCCCCTACGCTTTCTGTCTATGGAATCTTCCATGTAATAAGGGTATTGCACATTTTAACATCTAATTTGTATGACCAAAGTAAAGGGTAAGGAATCATTTTGAAAATTTCAAGGAATAAACATAAAAAATTTAGTCTTTTTGGAGATAAACATGATATCAACATCCTTTTATGTATATGAAAAGATTTGGTATCTTATTTAATAATGCTTGCTAATTGCACGTCGTATACATCATGATCTACATTGTTATTAAAAGAAAAGAAAAAGGGTTACTATAAATATATATATATATATATATATATGTTAATTTCATTCCCATGCAAAAGTTGATTTTCTCCAACAAAAGACATTAAAAGGAGGAAACAAAGCTCCACCAAAAGAGCCAATTGATGAAAAGAAATTAGGATATTAAAAAAGAAATGGAGTTCCAAATGACCAATCGTTTCTTATCAACAAGTAAAGCTAATTTTAGGTGACTTTACAAAGAGTGTCATCAAAAGGAGAGAAAATACAACAAATGTCTCATGTCTTTCCTTTTCCTCATTATTTTGTTCCTCTCTTTTCTTTACTAAAGAAGCAACACACCAACCACAAGCTCTACAAGGTAAAAAAAGAAAGAAAGAAAGATAGCCATTTTCTTCTTCTTCATTTCATTCCGTGAGCATTAGAACCTATTGTAGGACATCACTTGAACATGAAATCAAGTCTTTTTCCTTCCACCCCATCACACATCTTTCTCAAAAAACGAGCTCCTCCATTTACTACACATTCAACAATACTCATTCTCTCCAATCAACTACCGTAGTATTGTGCTTGTTGTTGTAGGACATCACTCTCCAACAGTAACATATGTATATATTGTATTGTATTGTATTGTATTGTATTGTTTAAGAGGTTTAGAAAGCACAAAGATAAGATGAAGGGTTAGAATCTGTCCGACAAGTTGATGTGATATTGGGCCACGGAATTCCACTAATGATATACTTTTAATTGGTGAAATGAGCAGGTAAGGGGCGACCCCAGACGTGCAAAATGAATGGGGGCCTAGCAAATGCTCTTTTCTTTAGTACAAAATATGAACACACATGTGGGTTGATTATTCAAATATGATCAAAGATTAAGAAGAAAAGGAAAGGAAAAGATGTTTTAGAATGTGGATGGAAGAGGGGAACATTAAGGCTGTTAGATCACATGGATATCACATCCCTTTTCCTCCCCCCCGTCTTCCTCTTCTCTTCTTTTTATACTGTGGCTTAGCTAATGAACGTTAAAAGAAAAGGGTATATTTCAAAAGGGAGGGTCCCATTTGGGCTTTGCCCTAATACATGATGTAGCCCTCTCCCCCCACCCCCCAATCCAAGGGATTCAGAGTGAGTGATCAGGCCATCCATATCAAACCCTAATGTATTCATCTGGGTCCCCCCATTTCCCATCCTGATCATCACATCATCTCATGCTTAAAGTTTCAATCTTTTCTCACTTTTTTGCCCTAAATCATTGTCAATTATGGCA